TTTACAGCTTGTGTTGCTTCGGTGATTTCTGATGTAAAAGTATGTCATCCTCTATTCGTACAAGTGATCTTCAACCCGAAATTTGCTTAACATAAGGATACCCGGGGCAAAATCGATCAACCCGGCCCTTCCGACCAGAGTTCTGAAGCTTCCGACCCAGAATTTTGGAAATCTCCCTGTAGATGCCCCAACAATATGTTGTCTTCTACGACAAGTTAACATTGGGACAGAACCATAATAAGGCCTAAAACGTCAATCAAATAATTTAAACCAGCGATTACAGTGTATTCGATCTTAATACATTTTAAAAAATATCAATTAAGCAAATAATTATTTTATTCTTTATTTTATTTTATCTATTTATTTTATTTTAATTTTTGTTTCTTTTATTCATCTTGTACAGTAAAACTAATTTTGAGAAATAGCCAAAAATCCATTAAATTAGATCTGTTAAAAGAAGGTGCTTATTAAAGATTTGAAAATAATTAAGCAGTGCATGGAATTGTTAACATTTTAGGCTTACCTAGTTTCAGGTAACATAGGATATTGAAGCCTAGATATGTGTTTAATAGCTTCTCCACTAACAAGGCAACGCAATACGTAGCTAAAACAAATAATGATTATTTATATACAACCACTTATCATATAGTAACGCAAGAAACATGTAATAGTGTCCAATACTCATACAATGAGAAATAGTGTGAGCTTAGCATCTTCCATAATAAAAGGTATTGAAAAAATATTGCAGACAATGGTATCGGTAAATTCTTCAAAAAAGAGGATAGTTAATAACTATTTTAATTAATTAAATGAATAAATAAAAATTACCTGCATGAATAAATAGCTTGATTGCGGTATTGTTGTTGAAGAAGAGTTTATTGATTGTGGTTTTGTTGAAGGGTTTACTAATACCGGTGTAGTTTGGGCTATATGAGCTGTGCTATATGCAGATGACGATATATTTTTCTTATTGACGACGGTCGTCATTCGGCTTTTTCTTAATCTAATAACATTATCCTGTTCATCAACTGTAGAATCACTAGATTGAGAACCTAGACCATCAACATTAATACTTGGTACATTCTTTAAAATGTCCTGTTTGATAGATCGATTTGACCATGGCCAAATAGATTTAATTCCCCGAACAACTCTGGCGATCCCATAAGATGAAAAATAATCTGGATCGCATATTTCAAACCTTAATCCACCTAAATATATAGGACGATTAAGCTTCGATTCAAAGCTAATTAGACTAGTTAAATAGCTTAAGTTGAATTACCTGGTAGTCGTTCCGGATCTTTAAATCTCAACATAATCGCAAATAGGGGGAAATGATTTAGAAACGCTAGTAGCGTTTCCATAAAAGCTTTTAAAAAAATAACTGCTACACGACTCTGAGGTTGGATAAACAATTTTTATCAATGTGAACGAATACCACTCACAAACTGAATAGTATAATACTAAAAACTCACAGTTGCAAAAGTGGCATAATACACTGCGACAGTAGGGAATAAAAATGTTAATAAAGTAAACAAGATTGTTCCCAGAAGTAATTGATCCAGATCATAATCGCAGGAGTCAATTCTATTACGTAAGGTGTTCCACTTTTTTCCTAAATCGAATAAGAATCTGTTAATATGAAAAAAAATAAAATTTATTGAGAAGTATATTAAATTCTTGCCTTGAAATAAATTAAATAAAGAATAGAGTATAGTAAGCTGCCAATTAAAAATCTTCGCCGCAACCATATAAAAAATATAAATGTGTAATGTCATAAAAGACAAAAAGTCGGATAGAAGCGATAAGACCATTGACCCTCCTAAAGTTCCAGATAATCCAATTATCCTAAGAATCTCGGGTATAAATGGGCCAATAGTTGTCACACAATCTATAAAAAAACAAAGTGTATAATAG